CTAGAACACGTAGAGCATGTAACCAGTGCCTCTCCCATAGCCTGTGCTCAACCGATAGTAACTGGTCTCATCATCGTTGCAGTTTTTTTTTTTTTTTTAATTCTTTAAGTTATCGTTGCAGTTTGTTTCTTCAATGACTTGGGAGCCTGGTTTAAAGTTTCTCAAAGTGTGATGCAGAAGCCAATTAGGATCTTCCAGCATCTTCGCTAATCATAAGCAAGAGTCCTGTAGTACTTATGTTTAAACCAGGGCAGTGACTATATTTCTGTTTCTGGCCAGACTTAAATTAATAGATTAGATCATGGAAACCAGGCATCTACTCGTGTTGTTTCCACCAAAGCATGGCCATCCATGGTGTGGGGAAGCCTCTTCCCTGGCAGTCACTTAGGACTTTACTAGTAAAAGTGCTCCCTGAACCCCTGCAGAGAAGCTTTTTGCAGAGCAATAGTTACGTTTCTGGAAGACTGGCAGATAACTGTACTGACAAAATTAAGACTCAGCTACCAGTGATACCTGCTCATCTGATACTGAAGGCTTTGAAGATGTGAGCACCAGCTTGACCCGCTGAGCTAGAGATGAAATCATGAGTTCCCCTTGGGCCACGCCTCATTTCAGAAATTGACACAGGTGTGCTCCTGCCTCACCTCCCAGTCAGTCCTCCTCTGGGCCAGGTGTGCTCATAGGTGTAGCATATCACGGGAAGCCCTGTCCTCAAGAAGCATGCATTCTACACTGCAGCCCCGCTCTGGTCCAGATTCTGCCTTATCTCAGTGCATTTGCACAGTAGATACTACTGTTCTCCGTTTAATGAAGAAACTGTGGCAGAGAAAGAGTAAGTAGCCTGTCCAAGGGTTTGAAGCGAACAGAAGAAGACTGGTCATTCAAACCGAGTTCTCTTTGAGCCCAGAGCCCATACTGGGAGCTGAATATCTTCTGTTGCTACACGTTTTGTTTAGAGAAACCAAGCCCTTTACATTTTTGTAGGCCCAGCAAGAGAAAAATCAGTAAGTATAGATTCAGTGGCCACAAATCAAGTGCCTACCACGGGCCAGGGATGTCGAATTCTCTCTAATCTATTTTTAACTGAAGACCCCATTGTCCCTTCTCTGCAGATAGGGAAACAAAGGTTCCAGGTCCTTAAAGAGTTAACTGCAGCGAGAGCATCATGATGGACCAGATCAGTTGGGCACAGACCATGGGAGAGGCACTATGCTGACTGCTTTACATGTTTAATCTTTGTAATGTGCAGGACTAGGTAACTTTTATCCTCAGTTACACAGATGAGGAAAGTGAGATGCAGGGAGGTTACGTTACTCGCCCAAAGCCAAAGGTGAGTGGAGGAGTCAGGATTTGAACCGAGGCAGCCTGGGTGCAGCCTCTGCCCTTCACCAGCTGTGCTATACCCACACGCCATCTACACTCACGAAATGGAATGAAAGCTGTCATGCTATTCCTGTTCCTTGACCTTCCTCCTGCCCACGGTGCCTCAAACAGTCTGGCATCTGGGTTGACATCAGAAAGCCCATTGGGGTAGTCTCTTCCCTGACCCAAATCTGAGAAGGCAGTGGGTGACTGTAGACCAGACCCACGTGATTTCCATAAGGTTTTCCTCTCTTTGCCCTTGGATGCCCCCTCCTCCTTTTTTTGGTCTCGATGACCATTCCCTTAAGCGGCATCTATCTCTCCTTCCAAAATGCCCAGCAGCCTTCAGGCTGGTGGCCCATCAAGGACAGAAGGACACACAGAGGCAGGCTTCCCACTTGACGGGAAGTGTGGATGGGCGGGGCCTGGAGCTGCAGTCTGCCAATCAGCCTCCGGAGCAGGCTCTTTCAGCCTCAGGGAAAGGTCAGGATTGCAGCCCCGCGATTTCACTCTTAAGTGGATTTTGGAGGCACTGGCTGTCCTGCCCCTCTCTACACAGTGCGGCTAAGCTGCTGCCGCTTAGCCAGCGGCTGTGTTCCCGCCACGTTATGAGGTGGCTTCTGGAAATCATGCATGCAGTTAGCTAAACGGAACCACGCTGCTTTATTAATGGGAGCAAGCTCAAGAGAGAAACTGAATAAAAACAAGGCAAGTTTGCTTTCCACCCCTAATTCAAAAAGCCAGATAATTAAGTAGGCGGAGAAAGGAAGTGTCCCTTCTGATTCCAAGAGCTGTCTCTCTCTTTCCAGATTTTCCTTTATTAGGTGGTGGTGGAGTGTGCGTGTGGGAGGGGGAGTGTTGTGAGGGAAGTCCTAACAAAAGATTATTGCCCCGAACCCTTTGAATGAGCGATCTGTGTCACATGGAGACCATAATAATAACTAATTGTTTCCAGTTGTGCGCAGCTTCTCCAAACCCTCCACTCAGTTCCCTTCTGCAGGGCCCTCAGCAACTCCAGATCTCACCCCCTGCGGACTCACCCCCACCTGTCACTTCGGATTTCACCTCAAGGGGAGGGCTCATCGGCATGAACTCCATCCACCCCAGTCATCTTCCACCTGCAAATGCGCCTGGAGAGCACTCCCCTCTCCTCCTCCCCTGCGGGTGGGGGTGGGGGTGGGAGGGTGGAGAGGGACCTCTTCACCTGCACAGCCATTGCTCTGGACACACTGTGACTTTGCCTGTCAGTTGCCCTGGCGCTGCCATGCTCCTTCCCTCCAGTGTAACAAACGTGTCCCCATCACTGGCATTCTGCCGAAGTCTTCCCTCCGCCTGCCTCTCAGGCAACCATCCCCCACCCTTGCCTGCTTCTTTCCACATCTTGACAGTCATCTCACCCCACTTGTCACAGCCACATGTCTCCACCGCCATCAGGGCCAATTCTGGCTTCTGCTCCCTTCCCCTCCTTCCACTCTACAGCTGGTCACCACTGACGTCCAATCTTAAGATCTAGTGGCCCTCCCTATCCCTTTCTTATTCACGGGGCAGAGAGGAGGAGGGTGGCCAAGAGAGGAGGGTGGTGGTGAGGGTGTTCAGTTCTCTGACATTTCTTCAGAGAGAGAGAGCCTAGAGTTTCAAAGACATTTTTCATCTACCAAACTGCATATTTTTACTTAGATATTTAAAAAAGCAATCTCAAGTTCCGAAAGAAAATGTGGCATCGATGCCAAAGCAGATCACTAACACTCGGTATCAACAGGAATATATTTGAATTTAAAAGGCTAGCTGCATCTGACAGCAGTCTCAGCTGCAGGCAAGTTGGAGCAGGAGCGGGAGCGGGGGTGGGGAGAGGAGTCCTCAGTGAACCTTTATGAAGACAGGGCACAGGTGATAAGTGGGGTGACCGTTCCCATCATGTGTCATGTAGGCAGTCACGGAAGGCTTCACATCAAAACTTGTATTTCGTTCCTGGCCAGTGGCTCAGTGGTTAGAGCGTCAGCCTGTGGACTGAAGGGTCATGGGTTCGATTCCCAGTCAAGAGCACATACTTGGGTGGCAGGCTCCCCAGCCCTGGTGGGACCTCGTAGGGGAGGCAACCAATCAATGTGTCTCCTGTTGATGTCTCTCTCTCCCCCTCCTCCCTCCCTTCCACTCTCTAGAAATCAATGGGAAAAAAAAAATATCCTCAGGTGAGGATTTAAAAAGTTATATTGAGGCTGAGTCTTAAAGGGCAGATAACTTCCGGTGAAGAAAAGGAGTTTCACACCGAGGCAGAGGGAACGGCATTTGCAGGGCAGGGCATTTGGAAAAGAACAGACATTTTCAGGAGATGAGCATGATAGTTTGAAGCATCTTATGGTCTCCTGGGATCCAGTGCTGTCCCCATCACTCCCCTGGCCCTGAAATACAGATAGCTGCAAGGAAAGGAGTGTATCTTAGCGTAATTTTCGTTAAGCTAAGGGCTCACCGTGTGTATGAGGAACCGATTTCTCACATGCCTCCCGAAATCAAATGTGTGCTTTTCCACGGACAGAGGAAAGGCATTCACAGTCAAGGTCATCTTCCCCCAGGGTTGTCAGCATCACTTTGAGGTGGGGGCAAAGCCTCACTACAGGAAGCTAAGAGCCCAGCAAGCTCCAGGGTCTTCATGGGAGTCATTTCTCCCACGGTGCATCTCTGCCCTCACTAGCTACGGGAAGACAGGTGTCGAGTCTCATTCGTTACACAGTGGAGAGCAGCAAATAGTTGCTCAAAAATGCTGGTTAAGTACTCGGGTAATGGGACCAGCATCCTGTGCTTTCTAAAGAACGGGGGGTTTCTATCCCCCCTCCTGTTTCCACGGTGTAAGTTCCTGATCATGGTGGAGCTTGTCAGTTCATGTTCTTCCTGGGCACTTAGGTAGAGAAGACCACACTTTCATGGGTAGGTGGGCTGTGGGACCAGGTCTAGCCCATGAAGCAAGACACGAAATGATGGGTGCTGCTCCCTGGGTGAGGTATTTGAGTGGGTAGACCACCTGCAAGCTCTCAGCAATGACCCTGGGATTCACTAGTTGAGATGGTAGCATCTTGGGATATAGATGGAGGAGCTTGGATCCCTGAATTGCCAGATGAAAGGGAGCCCCCCACTGACCCTCACTGGGAATATGTAAGAATTAAGTGGACCTTATTATGCTAAGGTTTTGCTTTGCTGCAGCCCTACCATGACTAATATGTACATCCCACTTCCTCTCCGTAAGACAGAGAGGGAGCATGGATTACACATGAACTCAATGAAAACATTGCTAACTATTTGATGGAAGTAATGAGAATAGGTATGCTTTACAACAGACAAGTCCATTGTCACCTTCACTTCTTTAGAGAAATATACAGAAGAAACTTCTCCACCTGCAGTTCCAGAAAAGGTGGAGTATCCCTTGACCATTTGATAAGTTACTAAGATTGATTCTTGGTTGATCGCTTTTTGCCTTGCTAACCAGGAAGCTCAGAGCCAAATATAACCTCATGGAATGCGTTTTGCCAGTTCCCTATTATCAATCACTTAGCTACTCAGTTCTCATTTCCCTGGGGTCCTGATATTATCTGCTCTCTCGTGTTGTGCTTTATATACGCTAATAAGTAAAACTTTCTTTTGTGAAGGGGAAAAAAGGAGATGAGGAAGGATTAGAACCAAACTTTTGGATGAACTCAGAACAAATGATCCACGAGCCATTCTCTCCTAACACTGAAGGCCGACAGGGTAAGTCAGTTTGAGTCGAACAATCGGTGTTGTTGATGTTGACTTACTCTTCTTCTAGGTTTCATGACTATTAATTTTTCCTTTGCTTTATAACAGCATAGCTCACAAAGTTAATGATGATAATTGCTGGTGCGGGATGCACAGGAAGATAGTTTGTGGCAGTGGGTGTAACTTGCAGTTAGTTTAAAATAGCTGTGCTCATGGATTCAGGGTCCCCAGATGACATTAATCACGGGCACTTCCTCCTTCTGAACTGTCATACACACTGATTCACAATTTTGATGGAAAGCATTCCCTCCATAAAATTCCCCAGTTGATGATACATTACCTGATGCAAAAAAAGGAACATTTTAAAATCCCAGCTCACACCTCACCTTAGTTTTACCTTTGTTTTCCAGACCTGTGTAGATTCAGGGGCAATGTAACATCCTTTCTACATTTATCTGCCATCATATCTATCAATGATCTCCAACAGATGCACATAGACACATGTGAAAAAAATTCTTTATTAATTTCTCACATTTTATTACAAAATGTATGTTGCAAACAACTTGAATAACCTACTGTGTGTTTTTTGTTGTTTTTTTAAACCCTTGGCTTCAAGAACTCAGGATCTCCCTATCTTTCATCAAGTATTGGGAAACACTGATTATTGGAGTCAATAGGTTCTCATTTTGCTATTTACTTTCTTCTCTCAAGCTCTGAAAAAAATGTCCTCTGTATAAATTAAACACAAAAATGTTGTAAATTCTATGTCATTACAGTCAACAGAATTATAATAATGCATCCAAAATGTGCGGCCACAAAATATCAGGTATATGTTTGAAAAAAAGAAAAAAAAATGACATTCTAGCCTTGTTACAAGGATAATGGTCCCATATTTTTATTAACAGGTTAGCAAAACAAAATCCAATGGATTACAATATTTACATGTTATTTGAAAAATAAAGTAGTGATAAAAGCATGTCACAATTATTTTCTTTCTTTTTTTTTCCTTTTTCTCTCTTTTCCTTTTTTTTCTTTTTTGTTTGTTTTTTGGTAACCATTACAAACACCCAATCCAGGTATGGAACTGTTTAATACATTTGAAATGAGGCCAATTAAAAACAAATATGGACACGAAATGAAATCTCTGTTTAGATAGTTCACACTTTCCCCATTTTCTGGTTTCCACATGATGGCCCTCATCCCTAAAAAAAAAAAATTAAGATAAAAGCCCTACAAAAAAAAAAGTCTTAACAGCAAGAAAATAAAGGAAGAACATGCTTTTCAAGTAAGCACTTATTTCACAAATGCAGTATCTTTCCATGGATTTTATTTGAAGCTATGTGGGACACTGTCATCTCTGCAATTCCCTTCCCTCTCTTCCCTCCCCCTCCCTCAACCCTTCCAAGTAAAAAAAAAACAAAACAAAAACAAAAACATGAAAACCAAAGGACACACACACACACACACACACACACACACACACACACACGAGAACACACACATCCAAGCACGCAAGCTCATAGGCTTCTAAAACCTAGGCTTCAAGGAAAGTTCTTTTCTACTCTTTGTAACGAAAACTCTCTGTTCACCATCAGAACATATTATAAATGTAGACTTAGATTTAGTCTAAGCCGCTCCCTCCTGAAAAAGCTAAGATGGGGAAACGGAGCAGCTGGCAGCTAGATTTAAACAAACAACAAAAAAGTAGTTCTCCAGGCTCCTTGTAGGATGGAAGTATTTCTTGTCCATTCTCACCAAAGGGATGGGATTCCCTTCTCCCCCCAAGTTAAATGAGAAACCGCCCCCCCAAAAAACACACACATTGCAAACAAAAGCAAAACACAGATTGGAAATCACACACAAAAGCCAGCCCATCCTAACAGAACGTATTTGTGTGAGACGGATAGTGTGATAATTTGACAAGCAACAAAAGGGTGAAGAGGACTTCCTCGTCTGGCCCACAAGCTGCATAGCTGTGCCAAAAAGTTTGGTTCTTTAGTTAAATTAAAAAAAAAAAGTTAACTTCTTTGTTATTTCCATGTTTAAAATAAAAACATTCCTATTCACAAAAAAACCCTAAATCTCCCTTGCCCCAAATTAAAACAATATCAACACACACACACACAAAGAAAAACAATTTATATGAAAAACTGAATTGTGCTGTGTTTGTAACACTCAAGCTGATAGAAAATGAACATGTGGCAAACGGAACTCCACAGTCACCGTAAAATTAGCTTGTATGAGTCTACCAAAGTCTAAATCATAGTTGAACACTAATAAACAGCTTACCTGGAATAAAGGATGACAATTCACAAACAGTTATCTAGTAATTAAAGTCTGTTTCTTTTTTTTGTTTTGTTTTTTACTAAAATAATTAAAAAAATCACAGTATTTTAAGAAATAAAACCCACGTGGGGATTTTAAGCACAATTTGTGTTCCTTTCTTTAAAACTCTTTTTTTTTTCTCCATTCACCATCTTGCCCAGCAGTTCTCTCTACATTTAACCACGACGACGACAGGTAGTACTGACAAATGCAGAGAATTCCCTTGGTTAAGTTTGAGGTACTAGGAAACAGGTGACTGTTTTATGCAAAGCAGTTTTTTTGTTTTCTGTTTTTGTTTTTTTTTCCCAAAGCGGCTGCAGTTAGGTCTTGAAAAAAGCTTAACGTATGAAAACTAGAAAAACGCACAGAAAGTTGTGCGTCAGAAAATGTTGTTCCCCTAAGAAGTCTTCTACTGTCATGGAGTTTGTTTCCACACACTGTCCAAGACCACCACAGGCCATGCTGTGCCCGGGAGGCGCTGCGCATCCCGCCACGAGCGAAACTTCCACGCTGAAGATCCGGGAGGGAAGGTGTAGTGATGGAAAAGGAGCCACATATTCCAACCATTTAAATAACTTTAATTTACATACTCACTCACACAGGTACCAGTGCTTTGAAAATAGATTGTTCAGTCCGAAAAAGCAGCTTTGTTCTGTCTTCTCTTTTCTGTCCCCCACGTCTCAGCCCGAGCTGGCCCTCCCACTTTGCGTCACGGTTCAAGTAAGGTTGTGATCCAGAATTCCACCCCACGCTTATTCCTTTTCGGCCTCTGCATTCTCCAGGAGAGATCTGTCGGCAGCGACGACGCAGATGGCTACTGTCTCGTTCTTTAGGGAAAAGTCTATCCCGAGTGCCTCGTCATCTTCCTTCTCCTCTATCGAGGGCATCTTAATACTGTCCTGCACGCTCTCTTGTAGGTGGATTTCTTCTCTGCTCACCTGCTGGGTGTCATTCAACGCCCTGGGAGGACATGGAAGGCAGAGACAGGTGAGTGTTTACTGTTTCCTAGTTAAATGAAAAAAGACTCACATCCTTAACAAAAGGCCTTGGGGGTTTCCTTGGAACAAATGCTGCGTGAAAGGATGACTAAATTGCAAGGGACTTATCCTTGCTACCTGTTGTGCTTAGGTCAAGTATTGCTGGTACTTAAACCTACAAAAAGGCCCATTATCATGCTATGGTTTGATTACATCATGCCTTGTTTCCAGATGAATATAATGGTTTTAAGTTTCCCGCCTCTACTGGGAACAGAGAGAAGCTGTAAGTGGTCAGAGCAAGTATTGTCTTATGCTCAAACTCCTCAGCGGAACCCAGAAGCTAGGAGATTGGCTGTGTTTGTTAAGACTGAAAGAGCAGCCCCGGTGTTAAAGAGTTAATGGACAGGTCCAGAAACAAATCATAGAGATAAACAAAAAGCAAAAACCCAAAGGCCGAACCCATGTCTTGGGAAGCCGAGTTACAGTCTCTGAAGTTTACGTGCTTCAGGTCTCAGGGGTACTTTCTGCTAAAAGCACCAACTCGTAGGCCCTGTATCTGGTGGACTAAGAGGATAATTTTATATTCAAGGATCTTACAGGTGTTTTACAGGTGTGCTCCCACCTACCTGGGAGGCAGGCAGAAGCTGGCTCTGTCCCCGAGGCAGAGCACTGAAGGCACCAAGAGGTGCGTGGGAATGTTCCAGGCCACTCAGGGAATGAGTCATCAGAGGCAGGAACAGAAGCCAGATCTTTTGACCCCGGTCCACGCTCTATCAGAGAACGCCACGCTAATGAGAGCTGAAGGGACACTGGCTGGAGAAAGCGCGACACTTGTACGCGAGGGCTTGAGTGGGATTTGTCATTTGTAGCGAAGGTGATTTTTTCATTTGACTTGTGTCTGGGTGACCATTTACAACACCAACCGAAAAGGAGACACTAGTTCCTGACATCTGTCTCTCCTCCCAGGCCCGGATATGTGACACAGAGGGGTCCGGGTGTCGGCAGGGGAACACCACCACCACCAGGAAGAACCTGACCGCCCTACCACATCCCTCTGGGCCAAGGCGTCTGGGGATGGCTCAACTTACATGCCGTGTCTCAGCACGTGCCGCTCCCACTCGGAGCCCTGGGAAAACGCCCGCCCGCAAAATTCACACGGAAAGCGCTTCTGAGGGTTCATGGCAGCCCCGTGGTCAGCAAACCTCATCAGATCTGTAAGGAGAAAGCGGAGCAAGCGTTACCCGAGTGCTGCGGGAGGCGGCGGAAGAGGTAAGCCAGCGTTTAGGAGACCTCCGTCCCTCCCTCGTCACACCATTTGTGAGAGCGAGTTCCAGATCCCCTGTCCTTCCTCCCACCGGCTTTTCACCCGAGGGCACTTCTGGAACGGCTCTCAAGAACTGTACCTGGCTCCCAGGACCCACGCGTGCCCGTCCCCACCTCTCCAGCTGCTTCTGTCACAAACAACCGGGGTCATTCCCACGGCGCCTGAGCAGCTTGTCTATTAAATCTCCCCCGCCCGTGATGGTCTAGCAGTGCCTCACCGTTTAGCACTATTCATTTTCTACTTGACATGAGTTTGTTCACTAAAAAGAATACAGGCTCCCGAAAGCATGGACCAGGTTACGCGCAGACCCGGGGGTTTCAGTGCCTTCCAGTGGGAACGCCGTCCTGACTCTCGATGGCGGTCACCTGTCACGGATGTCACCATCAACACCTCACGGGCTCCGAGCACCGAATGCCTGAAGGTGTGTGCTGGACCACGGGAGGCCGGCGTGTGAAAGCAGGCGTGACCTCGGCTAACGAGGGAGCCTGGCCAGCTGCCCGGCCCTTACTACTCAAGCGGTGAAATACGGAAGGCGGGGACATGCAGACATTTGGACAGGTCTGTTGTAGACATCAAACGTGGACTGTCATTGTTTTTTTCTCCTCTGTGGCACTGGGCACATGGTAGGGTCTGATAAGCGTGGGTTGGGCGGCTAATTGTTTACAGGCCACTCCTCCTGGCAGCCTCCACGACAGGAACTTTTGTGACCTTTGTGGGATCGGAGTCCCAGCCCATGTGTCCTTCATGACAACACAGCGGGCCAAATTCTCCCGGGGGCTAGCACCAACCATCTCCCCAGATCTGATCTCTCGGTGCCTGTCCGTACAAGATGTTACAGCAGTGGTTCTCAACCATCCTAATGCTGCGACCCTTTAATACAGTTCCTCATGGTGTGGTGACCCCCAACCATAAAATTATTTTCGTTGCTACTTCATAACTGTAATTTTGCTACTGTGATGAATCGTCATGTAAATATCTGATATGCAGGATGTATTTTCATTGTTACAAATTGAACATAATTTAAAGCATAGTGATTAATCACAAAAAACATATGTAATTATATATGTGTTTTCCGATGGTCTTAGGCGACCCCTGAGAAAGGGTCATTCGACCCCCAAAGGGGTCGCGACCCACAGGTTGAGAACCATTGCGTTACAGGGAGCCGTCTCCTGGTTGAAAGCTCCCAGCTCATCAAACCGTAGGATGATACTCACAGGGTAGGTATCTCTGTGCTGCCTTAATCCTCAGCACACAAGGCTAGTGAATAGGGCCAGTTTGAACAAAAGATGAAACATTTTTCTCACAAATTAAGAAGATCACCACACCAGCCATTAAAAATAATTGCACAGACTATCTCCCTTGATTCTTTTCGCTGGAAATGAGACAGCACCATCTGCTCGGCGCATTAATTTCTTAGCAGGGATTATCTTGGGCAAGAAATCAACAGAATGCCTTCCTGACTCCTCCCAACTGCATAATGAGAGGGGGTGGGGCGGAGCCTGCCTGGGTTAATTTTGGTTTCTTCCTGCCTGGTTTCTTCTCTTTCAATTTCCCTCCGAGCTTTCTAGGCGGCACCTGCAGGGTGGCCAGCCAGTCCTCTCTTCAGTTTTGGTGTTGGAAAAGGACGCCGGGAATGGGGTACCTACAAGGACGAGGGCCCCCCTGAACAAGGGCCTGATGCAAGTCCGCCCTGCCAACGAGGGGCAAGCTCCTGGCTCACGTGCCTTTTACCCCGAGGAACATGAAACCACTCATCTATTCTTTCCAAGGCTCCTCTGGCTCAGCCTCCGAGGAGGCCAATCATTACCTGTCACACGGCAAAGAGCTCTCCACCCGCTGGAGCTGCCGCGCTAGAGCCACCACCCACTCTCCGCTCCTAGGAGACAGGCCGGCTGGCAAACACCCCCGGGCTATTGTGTGTCCTTTCTTCTCGCTGGCAAGAACCCACCTCCACGGTGGGAAATCGATTAGGAGACGAGACAAACTCGGGAGGGACAGGAAGGTTTAGGCTGATGATTTCCATGAACAGTACTGGAAGTCGCTCCTGTAAATCTGCCACCCAGGGGGAGAGACAGACAAGCTTCTCCACCCCGAGACTTTCCCCATGTGGTTAAGGCTCATGAATGGGAAGCTACCCGCCAGTGAGACGTGACCGGACACGACCAAGCTCTTTCCAGTCCAACCGAGCGGGTCTGAAGCTCCCGTGAGGGGCGGCCACACAGCGCGAGCGGGAACCTGCTTGGTGCCCACACACCCAACTGCCCCCTTTCCCCTTCTACTTGTCTGTGCTTTTACTGTGGAGGAGTCACCGGGGAGGCCACACAGGGGCTCTTGCCTCTGTCATGCTTATCACCTCTAAATTCATGTGCTCGCTTTAAAGACTCAGAAGTTGTAGGACCTGGGGGAGGGAGGGCGGGGTCCAGGACATGAGGAGGCACAGGAGCCCCTCTGCCCTCTGTCAGAGAACCCCTTTCCAGGGAACTCGGGTGGCAGTGCACTGGTCCCAAGGAATCCGTCACCAAGAACATACACATGGAATGTTGAGCTTCTCAGATCACAGCCCTTGTCCAAGCAAGAGGCGGAGGAGTCTGGCCCCTACTAACAGACGCTGTACCGTCACAAGGGCAATCAACCTACCCGGTGCGGATGCTTCCTCTGCCATTTATTCTTCAGGCCACCATGGGCATGCTGGCACACCCTAGCTCACAGTCCCTGCTGCCTTCCTAGCCACAGGGGACTAAGGTGGCCTCCTGCCACAGCGGCATGGTGGGGCGGGTGGGGTGGGGGTGGGAGTGGGAGCAGGTCAGGAAAAAAACCGGGAGAACCTCGGAGGGAAATTGTCACCAAATACTCTTCCTCAGGCTCGCAGACTGACCAAGGAGGAAAAAACAAAGCTATTTTTGTAAAAGTGTACCTTTAGAGTGAGACCTTAATGGCCACAGAATTGACAGAATTCAGGGTCCAGTTCCCTTCAGTAAACAGGCCACTGTCCACAGGGATGGGGAACAGGAGGTCGTGTAAAAGGGATCTTCTTGCCTTTGGAGCCAAAAGATGAAATTCGACCTCTAGTGTTGTGTTTTATAAACTTTGCATGAACTCTTGCATTTCCTAGGCCTTTATTTCCCTGTTTGTAAAATGACAATAATACACCTACATGAGGGTTATCACTTATTAGGTGGTTACTACGTTTCAAGGACTGGTTTGGGTGTGATCTCACTGTGTCTTGGTGTTATCTCACGGAAGCTTTACACAACCCTAGGAGGTAGGTGATATTATTATTACTGATGAAGAATGCACAGGAGCTCCCCAGTCATATAGCTGTATTACCCAAACAGCTACTAGCGGAACTAAAGCCAGACCCAGGCAGGCCAACCGCAGACCCCTCTCCAAGGCATCTATAAACCACCCGCACTGGGCCTGGCACATGATGATGCTCTGCAGTGGCAACTAGCACCACCCCTCTCAGCACTGTGGTGACATCTATGGTCTAGCTCTCAGGCTTGGTACCCATGTGACTCTGATAAGTCTGCAGGAACTAAAGTAACAGATTTCAACCTATCTGCTCACAGGCACCGTCTTGGGATTTCCACACTATTCTGTGTTGATCGATGTCGAGAACAACTCTAAATCACATACATGTCTGTCTGTAATTACATATACTTTCAACAAGCTTCATTTTGAAGATAATTATAGACTAAGAAGAAGTTGGAAAAATAGTACAAAAATTCCATGAGACCTTCCCCCGTGTCCCCTGTAAACACATGACTAAATGAAAACTACTGGTTTTGTCAAAGCCAACGGCAAGGAGGTTAAGGGGAGGCCATGCTGAGGACTGAGAGAGAGGGGGCCCCAGGATTCGTCTCGAAGCCTCCCCCACTCACAGCCTCGGCAGATGAGCCCGCCGCAGCAATGGCAAATCAGCGTCCCATTGGGAGTTCACTGACGTTCCCTGAGAGCTCTGGTGTCATCCGTCTTGCCATTGGCTGGTCCTTATACTAAGACCCCAAGACACCCCTTCTCCTTGTTAAAAACAAATCACCACTCTACATTGTTAATAAACACATCAACCGCAGCGAGACAGAAAATGCCTGTTTCCCGTGGAGTTTCTACAGCTGGGGACAGTTTACAGACACGGCCCCCGACAGGGTTCTCGGGTCCGTCTGTTCTGCTCCTGAACTAAGGCATCGTTCCTTCTGCTATTCCCACAGCACCCCCTGCCTTCCCGTCTCCCCACGGACGCGCTGGCTGCCACCGGGCCCGCAGGGCGGGCGGGACTCACCTCTGTCCTCGGCCTTGCCCATGTCCTCCTCCTTGTCCTCGTCCTCGCTGCTGGAGCTCTCCAGCTTGCCCTTCATCTGCTCCAGCTGGTCCAGGTTGACCCGTCCGACCAGCTCGAAGTTCCGGCTCACCTGAAAGAGGCCAAGCGCACAATGGGAGAGGCCGCGGGAGGGCGGGGGCCATCTCTCCAGCACCCTTGCCCCGCCTGTCTTTGGAACCAGGACCAAACGACACCAGTGTTTGGTCCCACATCCCACGTGTTTAATGGGACTGTCGACATCCGGCCCCCCTTACTGAACTTGGTAAGAGAAGTGAGCTACCGTCGGCCAGAAAGCACAAGTATCATGAAGCTTGGCGAGTGGAGGTGGTGGCCAGCCAACAGTTTTTTCTTTGTCAATCCTCACCGGAGGACATTTTTTCCAGTGATTTTCAGACAGAGTGTAAGGGAGGGAAGAGGTGGGGGGGGGGGGGACATCGAAGGGAGAGAGAGACACATATTGATTAGGATTAGTTGCCTCCCGCCCTGCCAGGGATCAAATCCACGACTCTTCTGTCCTCGGGCTGGCGCTCTAACCACTGAGTCCCCGGCCAGGGCTGGGAAACCCTTTTTAGTTGAATTCAAAGCGGTGACTTTTGTAAACCACCCAGTTCTCCTGGAGGCGAAGAGGCTCTAAGTATCTAGAGAACCGGCGGTGACAGTCGCAGCCTCTTCCCCACGGTCCTGCCACCTGCAGGGCTGCAGGCTGTCCCAGTGCAGGCCCGGCGACAGTGATTTGATTCCTAACTCACACGCTGACCAGGAGCCACAGGTTAGCACAGGACTCAGGTCAACACACAGCCATGGGCTACCCCTGTGGCAGGCGCTGGGCTCCCCCGTTGGAGGGAGGGACGGGGGCGGGATCCAGCGAGAAGGAGACCCAGTCTGGCCCCCAGAGGCTCACAGTGTACCAGGTAGTTGGGGAGGGCAGACAGACATCATTCGCTAGATTCCAAGGCAGACGCCCACAGCTGCTACACAGAGAGGGTAAGGAGGACGAGGAGAGGGAGGATTTACAAGACAATCCCAAATGTGTCCCCTGGACCAGACCGGAACACAGATCCCCTGAGCACCAGATGCCGGGCAGATGGGAACATCACCGTCAACTGTGCCAAATGCGAGAGAGACTCGCAGCGTCAGGGCCAACGCGCGGTCCTCCGACAGGCTCGACATCGTCCCGACCACGTTCTGTAGGAGGGAGCATTTAAGAGGAGGAAGAGCCCTCGGGATAAAAGCTCTTTTGAAACCAGAGGAACAATACATGGACCTAACACCACGAGGAACCCGGGAAGGCAGTCACTTTGAAAACAACGAGACACGAGGGCGGAAGAGCGGTCTGCGTCCGTCTCAATGCTCAACACTCGAGGACGCAGGCTCTTCTTCTCACTAAGAAAGTTGTAAAGATTAACAGACAAAAGTGAGGAGGAGGAGGAGGAAGCTGGACTCAGAATCTTGATGTCTCCTGCCACCCGTCTAATAAGAGTTCACAGCAACAGTCTCAAAGGCACTTTTGCTTGTGGCACCTTCCTAACCAGGGGTTTATCCACCAGGCCTCACTCCCACAGGCCTATGGGAAGCTTCACAAATTCATTTTTACAACATGAAGGGG